CCATAACCACATGCCTAATCAAAGTCAAAGTCAAAGTCAAAACACTTTATTCCATTAATTACAATGGTTATTCTTTACATAAATACAATCACATCCTCTTTTATAAACTCTCCAAACCTCTTAAAAGGCCATCCAACACCACGCCTCTATAGACACCGAAACCCCCTCTTCTATAAACTCCCGATCTCACGCCTCTATAGACACCGAAACCCCCTGTTCCATAACCTCCCGATCTTCTTCTTTTTTCTCTCTCTTTGCAGGATTCGATACAAAACGTCCAGCGGCAACTCGAGAAGAAGCTCCTGAATCCCCTTCCGGAATCCCCTTGGATCGACGCTCTCACGGGGGATTCCGTCGCTTATAGTCACAAGGCGAACACGATCGTCATTCCGCCACACTTGCTAAATCCGCCGCTGTTCCACCGCTATTACCCGCTGTGAGGGACAAGGATCTCGAGTTCTTTTTTGTTTTTGTTTTTTTTTTGGTTGTTTTCTGGGGGGAGTTTGTTTGTTTTATGTTGTTTTTTGTTTTTGTTTTTGTTTATTGTTTTGGGGGAGGAGGGGGAGGAGGGGGGGGGGGAGGAGGGGTTGTTTGTTTTATGTTTTATTGTTTTTTTTTCGTTTTTTCCTTTGTTTATTACCCGCTGTGAGGGACAAGGATCTGGAGTTTTTTTTTTTTGTTTTTGTTTTGGGGGAAGGGGAGGGGGAAGGGGGTTGTTTGTTTTATGTTTTATTTTTTTTCTTTGTTTATTACCCGCTGTGAGGACAAGGATCTCCATTTTTTTGTTTTTTTTTTTTTTTTTGTTTTGAGGGGAGGAGAGGGAGGGGAGGAGGGGGAGGGGGGAAGGGAGGGGTTTGTTTGTTTCATGTTTTTTTTTTTTTTGTTTTGAGGGGAGGGGGAGGGAGGGGTTTGTTTGTTTTATGTTTTATTGTTTTTTTTTCGTTTTTTTCTTTGTTTATTACCCGCTGTGAGGGACAAGGATCTCGAGTTTTTGTTTTTGTTTTTGTTTTTTGTTTTGAGGGGAGGAGGGGAAGGGAGGGAGGGGGGAGGGTTGTTTGTTTCATGTTTTATTGTTTTTTTTTTGTTTCTTACCCGCTGTGAGGGACAAGGATCTCCATTTTCTTTGTTTTTTTTTTTTTTTTGTTTTGAGGGGAGGAGAGGGAGGGGAGGAGGGGAGAGGGGGGAAGGGAGGGGTTTGTTTGTTTCATGTTTTATTTTTTTTTTTGTTTTGAGGGGAGGGGGAGGGAGGGGTTTGTTTGTTTTATGTTTTATTGTTTTTTTTTCGTTTTTTTCTTTGTTTATTACCCGCTGTGAGGGACAGGATCTCGAGTTTTTTTGTTTTTTGTTTTTGTTTTGAGGGGAGAAGGGGTAGGGGAGGGGGGGAAGGGAGGGGTTGTTTGTTTCATGTTTTATTGTTTTTTTTCTTTGTTTATACCTGCTGTGAGGGACAAAGATCTCGTTTTTTTAGGGGGGGGAAGGGAGGGGTTTGTTTGTTTCATGTTTATTGCGTTTTTTCCGTTTTTTCTTTGCTTATTACCCGTTGTGAGGGTCAAGGATCTCGAGTTTTTTTTGGGGGATGGGGGGGGGAGGGAAGGTCTTTTATTTATGTAGGGGGGAGGAAGGAAGGGTGTGTTTGTTTATGTTTTATTGTTAATTTTTTTCTTTGCTTATTACTCGCTGTGAGGGACAAGGATCTTGACTTTTTTTTTTTTTTTTTTTTTTTTTTGCTTTTTGGGGGGAGGAGGGAGGGGGAAGGAATTTCAGGGGTGGGTTGTTTGTTTGTTTCATGTTTTATTGTTTGTTTGTTTGTCTGTTTCATGTGTTGATTTTTTTTTTGCTTTTTTTTTTTTTTTTTTTTTTTTTTTTTTTTTTTTTTTTTTGCTTTTTTACGCATTGAGGTATAAAGCTTTTGATTTTTTTTTGTTTATGCATCATTTCTTTTGTTTTGTTTTTGTTTAGGGAGATGGTGGTGTTTGGTAATTATTAAAAATATGTGTTTCGTCGCGCCACCAAATCATATTTCAAAGTGGTTAATAATTGACAGATTGATTTATTCATATTTGGAATTCATAATTTATACACATCTTTTCATTCATTTATATATTTTTTTCGTTGATTTTTCATGCTCAATTTGTCTGAAATATTCATTAGCGTATTTGATTCTTTCGTTTTTTTTTTTATTTCAGTAATTATTAGATTATTAAAAAAAAAAAAATCATATGCATATGTTTATGAATATCTATTGCTGAATCTTTCGTTATCTGTTTCTTGTTATACCTTCGAGTTATCGAATTTATCTTCCATTTTCTTCTACGTTCACATATTCCTTAAAAAATGCTTATCAATACATTTTACTTACATCCATACATCACAAAATCTTCCTCTTCTCTTTGCATCATTTTATCCACTCACCTCTTCCCACCATCTTCATCCACTCATCTTTTCACCATCTTTATCCCCACCTCACCATCTTCACCACATCTCACCATTTCCCACCTCT